TTTCTACCTGCAGAGGAAACACACACCAGCTCACACACACTTTCTACCTGCAGGGGAAACACACACCAGCTCACACACACTTTCTACCTGCAGAGGAAACACACACCAGCTCACACAAACTTTCTACCTGCAGAGGAAACACACACCAGCTCACACACACTTTCTACCTGCATCGGCAGAGGAAACACACACCAGCTCACACACACTTTCTATCTGCATCCATGGAGAAAAAAAAATAATTTGATAAAATCAATTCAGAAATTAATAGAATATAAGATTTCTTCAATTTGCACTTTCTTTGTTATAGACTTGTTTCTTAGAGTCTGGGTAACTGACTGTGTGTGTGTGAGGAGAAGCCCTCAGCCCAGGTTTCCCAGATTGGGCTCAGTGATGACCACAGCCCCCCCCCCCCCGTCCCCCCAAGACAAAGCCCACCAGCAGCCCCCCTCCAGCCCCCCCTAGACAAAGTCCACCAGCAGTCCCCCTCCAGTCCCCCCTAGACCCAGTCCACCAGCAGTCCCCCTCCAGTCCCCCTTAGACCCAGCCCACCAGCAGCTTCCCCGAGACCAGATCCCAGGGAGACCACCACAGAGACAACCAGGAGCCGAGAAGGCCACCAGGGAAGCCCACCAGAACCCAAGCCCCGTGAGCCGGGGCACCAACCCTAACCCTAACCCTGACCAGCCAGCGGGCCAGTAAGGCCCCCAACGCCCCCAACGCCCCTGACCCAGACCCCAGAGTCCAGAACCCAAGCCCAGACCCCAGACCCCTGAGCCCCCGTGCCCGAGCAGACCGGCCACCCAATCCGGAGCCAGCGCCGCCGCAACAGGGTACCCAAGGGATCCTCGCCCCAAACAGCTCCATCTGAGGGCTCCCAAAACCACCAACCCTGTCAGACACCCGCCCCCCCCACAGAGATTCAACCAGGACCTGCAACCCAATCATTGGGGACCAGAGAGAATTCAGTTCAGCAAGTTGCTGTTTGGAGGAGGCAGACATTAATACCAAGCTAATACAGTCTAATAATTTTATCTTTTGCTTTCCAGTTCATGAGAAAAGTTTTCTTTTCAATGCATAACACGGTGACACATCTCTGGGTCTCCTTAGTCCCGTTTTCTATGGAAACCAGTGACCACAGCTGTGTTTCTTTGTGAGTCTGGTTGAGTGGATAAGGTTTGATATGTTTTAAGGTCATTTGGACTTCTCATTTTGAATGTCACCCTGTTATGTGGCCACAGAGAGTAGGTGATGCAAACAACGCTCAGCACAGGCACCAACCGGCTCAGGCAGATGGACTTCATTCCTGTGTCGGCTTCTGGGTTTTCTTCCTGTTAAAGGGAGCTGAGCCTCTACAATGTCACCCTGCACATGCTCAGATACTGAGACCAAACCTAAGATAAGATTCCATGCAATCCAGTGGTTTTCTAGCTGAATAACCTTTAGGAAGCTGCCAACGACTGAATGCAAAGTATGTCAAACTCAGGAACAGATTATGAACAAAAGTCACGCAAGCTAACAAGTGGAAAAAAAACATGAGATTTTATCATACTAACCTGAAAACTTTCCATTGGACTGAAGAGAAACTTTTCTGTGTGTTATGAAGAACCCTCCAGGCTGACCAGACTCAAATGTAATGAAATATAACAAACTAATAAACCTGCTATCTTGAGAAGCAGAGATTTCTAAATGGACAGAAACTGTGCTGTTTTAAACCTACTTTTATTGAGAAACATTTGCAGGTACACTTGACACACATTCTCACCAGACTGCTATGAAGGGAAATATAAAGCAGACAGCCACACTTCCTGTGGGGAGACAAAGGGGAACCAGTGTTCTGAGCCAGTTACCTACTGGATAATGGAGGTTTCTGACCTCAGAATGCCTCCAGCTGAGCCCAATCTCTGGGCTTTCTTTCACTACCAGGATAAAATGTCCCTACAGTCACAGTCCACATATTGTAAAATATGATGACCTAAGAGCTGCACCTCACAGTTAAAATAGTCCTCTTGCTTCTCTAACTTGGTCAAACAAAGAGCAGAAAGCACATTAGGAGGAAAGGTGCGATGTGAATCTTGTTTGAACAACTGCATATGGACCAAATGTCACATTTTCTTCTACATGAACAATTCTGTTACCTTATGGAAGCAGGTCAAAAGGTAAAAGAACTGGTCCAAGC